TGTTAGATCAGTTAATATAATTGATCTATCAGACTTGTAAAGTTATAAGCTCAGTAATTGCAGTCATCTAGGAAATATGCTAGGTTTGAGCAGGACCTATTTTATCAACTAGATTTGACTCTGGGGCACGGGGACATGGAAAATGGAGAACTGTTAAAAAAAAACAAAACACAAACGTTTTTATATGAGGATGTTTTGGAGTTCAGTTATTTGCAGAAGGGGATTAAAAGTAGTCTGGATACTAATCGTGATTAAAAAAGAATCTGGAGCAGATTGATTTGAGGAACAGTTAATTTTGCAATAGAAAAAGCACACATTCTGATGACAAGTGTTAGCATTGAAAGTGTTCATTTAAGCATCGTGAGAATTCAAGAATTCCTAACTGACAAAATAGTAAGGTTTGCTGACTCAGAGTATGTTGCTGAAGGGGATGGGGTCTGGTAGGAGGAAGCTTAGAAGTGCTGCTGCAAGTTTTGAGTTGGATGATGACTCATCCTGCCCACGACTGCTACGTGGCTATTTTTTTTTTTCTTTTTTATACTCTGTTTTTTTTTTCTTTTTTAAATGATAGGCTAAAATGTTTCTGCCTAATTATAATTCCCTCTTTCCTCTGAGGAGGAACAGCAATTTCTCTAAAAAAGTAATGGCTTCTTAAATTGCATTTAAAAAGGATAATGCATATCCTACAGGTGGAATTGTATAACATTTGTTGAGAGGAAAGGTAAAATCAGTCACTGATCAGTTGCTGAAATTAAATGTTTGTTAGTAGTAGTTATTTGACTGCTAGTAAAAGAGATTTGTTACAGGTTATTTATAAAGGACAGATAGATAGTACTTTAGGTTTTAGTAGAAATTGAGCTTATGTTTTCATTAGTTGTGTAAAAGTTATCTATAAAATCTAGAAAATTGGTTTAAATAAATGTTGTAAAAGTGTCAACACAGTTACTGTTTAATCAGGTATATCTTCTGAACATGAACATTTCACTCTGTTGAAATTATTAAAACATGATTATACCTACTGCTTTCTTATCTATATGAATTTTCTCCTTTAATAAAAACAAATTGATGACAGGTTTGGTTGAACATGCCTGTAATACCAATGATGGGGGAGGCTGAGGCAGGATGATCACAAGTTCAAGGCAGCCTCAGCAACTTAGCAAGGCCCTAAACAATTTAGTGAGAACCTGTCTCAGAATTAAAAAGTACTGGAGATGTAGCTCAGTGGTTATGCGCACTGGGTTCAGTCCCTATTGTCAGTCAATCTTGAAATAGGTGGTAGTGTTATAGGCACTGGTTTTCATTTTTTTTTTTTTTAAGATAAACTGATTATACAGTTCCAACTTTAGGACTTAAATTGAAACTTGATAATAAGATATATTGATTTTTTAAACAGCCAACATTTCGCAAATTGGCTTAAAAATAAGATTGAAGGAAAAATGAAAGGATTGAGCATGGCAGTTTTGAAAGTGAGAGGAAAAAACTCCTGACCCCCACCCCTTAAATTTTCTGTGTATACTGTTTATTTTTTCAGAATGATTTATTTGAGGAGTTGTGTGAACAAAATGTATTATATATTTGAATTAAGTACTTGGAGACATTTTGAAATTTTATTACATGCTTTATACAAAGGAATTTTAATAAACTTCAATTCACACTTTAAAAATATCTCCTACTAAAGGAAACAAAAATACAAATACATGAGTACTGAGGATTTTCAGAGCATCACATTACTTAGAAGATTTAGAAATTGAACATATATTTTACAGTGTTTGGTTTGGAATATAGATTATTAGTTGTCATGCACAGTTCAGAATTTTTTTTGTTTTAATTAGTTATACGTGACAGTAGAATGCACTTATATACTTTGATGTATCATACATAGATGGGATATAATTTCTCATTTTTGTGAGTATACATATTGTAGAATCACATTGGTCACAGTTCAGAATTTAAGAACAAACTAGATATCTTAGCCTATCTTCTTCCTCACGTATTGCTTTATGAAATGGTTAGCCTTCTTACTACTGCTGTCCAGTTCCTTGTTTGTATTGCCTATTTGAATCTTGTGTTACTTTAGGGCCCCTGTTAAAGTAGAAAGAAAATATCTCAAAAACAAATTCTGTGTGACTTTGTTGGTTGTGCTCCATCATCTCCCTTAGCCTGTTTTGTGACTCATGACATCACACTGTAGACTGCCTATAGAATGGGCATTTTTATTACTCAGTATTCTGAGACTTTACAAAAACAGTAGTGATGTTAGTGTAGCCAATGACTTTTTCCAGGGAGTTGCTTTTATGTGGAATTGATTCTTACAAGGTAACAATGCTATGGACTGAATCCAACATTCTTTTTTTTTTCTTTCCATAAATTGCATGTTTAGGAAATATAGTATGCCCCTCTGATTGTTTGTTGTTGACTGTGTTTTTTTTTTTTGTTTGTTTGTTTTTTTAGTGCTGAGGATTGAACCCAGGGCCTTGTGCATGTGAGGCAAGCACTCTACCAACTGAGCTATATGCCCAGCCCCCTTGACTGTTGTTTTTTTAAAGGATTGTGTCTCTCTTTGTTGCTCTGGCAGGCTCTGACCAGCTGTCCTCAAGTGATCCTCCTACATCAGCCTTTCTAGTAGTGATAACATTTTTTTGTTGTTGTTTTGGTGCTGGAGATTTAACCCCAGCCATTTAAGACAGGGTGTCACTAAATTGCTTAGGGTGTTGCCAAGTTGCTGAGGCTAGTCTTGATTGCTGAGGCTAGTCTTGAACTTGATCTTCCTGTCTCAGCCTCCCAAGCTGCTGGGATTACAGGTGTGTTCTAAAAGCATCAACTTTCAGATATGCCTGCCTTTAAAAATTTTTTTTCCACCCTCTCCCCCCACCCAGGGCTTCACACATGCTAGGCAATCACAATACACTGAGCTATATAACCCTAATGGTTTAAAATTTTTTTTGAGTTAGGATCTTGCTAAGTTACCCAGGCACTACTAGTTGTGTCAGCCTTCTATATCCATTTTTTAAAAAGTTGTATAGAGATTGAATCTTTATACAGCAAATAACATTTTCCTGTTGATTTTCATCTAAATGTAGTTTTTTTTCTTTTTTAAACAAACAAAAATGTTAGAATCCCACCTTTGACTTCAGGGAAGACCTCTCTGCTTCTGCAGAGAATGAAAATTTATGTGCATTTAATTCTGTACAGTACTATAACAATAAAGTGTTAGTGTTTGAGAAGGGTCGTAGATGTTATTTTACTCCAGATACATCATTTGACAGTTAAGGAAGCTGAATCCCAGAGAGATCCAAGACTTTGGCACTAATGTGTGATTCCTGGACCAACAGTATTGTCATTACTGGGGAACTTGTTAGAGGTGAAGAATCTTGACTTTATCTCAAGTATAGAAACTACATTTTAACAAGACTTTCCAGTGATTCAAATGCATATTCAGTTCAAAAAGCATTGCTAGGGGCTGGGGTTCAGGCTCAGGCTCAGGCTCA